AAATCTAAGGTCACCATGGAGACCAAAAACCAGAACCAACATGAATCTCACTTTAATGCTTAGGCATTAGATTAACTCAAGTGATTATTAAAATGGGAGTTGAAAACAGCATAAGTTATTCCTTCTCTTCCAATAACATTAGTGTATCTGTGTTATCTGGGGCAGGTTTTTTTCTTTCTTTTTTTTCTTGTGGAGTTTGCTAAAACAACAACAACAAAAATTTCTTACATAAAGCTTAGGACATAGAAGAATTCTCAAATGTTTCTGCCTTTTTTATTTTTAAAAACTGAATCCTCAAAAGTTAGAACAAGATGACAAGAAGGTGTTTTCTGGTTGGGACACATGCTCCTTGGAGAAAAGCTGTGTTGAGATTAACAAGGGGTAATCAAGGTTGCACTAACTTGGCAGCCTTGTAAGCCCACCACACACACCCACTGGGATACAGGGCTAGTGCTTCCCAGAAGCTCCTGTTCCAGGAACTGAATGCTTCCGTCCCTTCTCACGCCCCAGCAGCTCATCTCTGTTGCAGGAGCATCTGATGACAGGCCCCCTTCTCTTCTCACCTCATCATTTCACATGACGATTACTTCTCTAAGCCATGACATTTTGTGAAGTAAAGAGTACACTGCCATCAAGTGAATGAACACTAGGAACAATTTTCTTAATTACTACTGCATACCTGTTGGAACATTTTTCTTAGAAGCCATGCGTTTTGAATACTGGTGTTAAGGGAAGAATTAAGTATACTAATTATGGGGCTTTGCATGTTGGCAGAACCAAGTTTAAGTTCACGTGCCCATGTTAAACAAAGTCGTATTCTAAAGCTCAACTCTTTTCCCTTGGAGTTTAATGATGACTGATAACCATAAGAATATCCACCAACCAACAGGCCTTAGATGGTGTCTCAAGTCAGGGGATAACCAATTCTGGAAGCATCGTATGTTAATGTCCTGTCTCTGGACTTTTCATCCGTACCAACAGCTTTAACACCACCGAGAATATGATGAATCACAAATATTTAATTTCTAGCGCTGATTTTTCCCTCAATTTCAGATGTAGACTGCTAGTTGGCCTGGACACCACCACTTAGATATCTCACAAGTACCTCAGACTCTATTTGTTTAATCTGAAGTCATTAACTCCGTTTTCCTCCTTACCTTATAATTATGCCAGTGGTAAAAGCCAGTTGCCTTTGAAATCCTTCCTTTCTCTCCTCATTCCCTATATCAAATGTATTGCTAAGCTGTACTGATTCAGCCACTTAAATATTGCTCAAATCTGTCTCCACTTCTCTTATCCCTACGGCCAGCAGCTTAGCTTAAGGTCCTTATATCACAGCATTTTCCACATTATATAAGATGAAAGTTTGGATGAGGTGGTCTTAAAGCACTTTCCACAAAGGCAGGGACTTCTGTCTACTTTGCTCACCCCCTTGCACTCCAGTACCTCAGACACAGCAGGTGCTTAATGCACGTTAAAAACATTTTCTCTGGATGAATAAGAGTCTAGGCGTTAAGGCGTGATGGCCACACCAAGCTTTCTTATTTCTGTACAGCATCTTACATCTACAGAGCCCTGTGTATTTACTGCCTTCTTTCACTCTCGCAACTCCTTAAGATGGTATGAAAAGTGCCATAAACCCTGTCTTGCCAACAAAGGGACTGAGGCTCTGAGAAGTTAAATGCAACTGCTGCACAGCTAGCAAGTGCTGGACGACATCATCCTCACTCTGACCTCAGTGTTCTTTCTACTACTGGGTAGGTCTGTATTTTTACGGGGTAATAAGTCCCCTCTCTGTGCAATGGTTCAGAGAGAGTTTGATCAAGATTTGGTGGCGAGGATATTGAGACACTGGGCTGGATGACTTTCAGTAAGGTTCCTTTCTGTTTTGACTAACCAAGCCCTGGGTAGGGCTCTAAGGTAGGCAGAGGTGGTCTCTGGGATCTCTCTCGAGCACTATCTCTCGCTCCCTTCTGACACTGTTCCCCAGTGCAGTGTTCTGACCCTTGTCTGACCTCTCAGTTTCTTAAGCTTGATCTCCAAGAGGCAGCACTGCGCCTTCAAGACCTTTTCCAAGTCTTCTGTCTAGCTTCAGAAATCATTCTGTTTTACTTGTGAAGTGTTCTTGCCAAAGAAATTAGAACAACTGAATCAAGTCTCCAGAGCCAACTTTCTATTTAGAGGAAATATGGAGGAGAGAGGAAGAAGTTAATTGACACTAGAAAGAAGCAAACAGATAAGTCCAGAATGTGGGATATTCTACAGGACAACTGCTCTGATCTCTGTAAGTTACTGATGGGGTTTACAAAAAGGGGGTGGGGGGACTTCCCTGGCGGTCCAACGGTTCAGACTTCGAGCTCCCACTGCAGGGGGCACAGGTTCGATCCCGCGTGCCAAAAAAAATAAACGGGGGGTGGGGAGGAGAGAAGGAACTGCTCTAGAATGTAGAGACTTAACAGACAGAACAACTAAATGTCATATAAAGACTGTGGATCCTAATTTATACAAACCAACTGTTTTTTTAAAAAAGGCATTTTTTAAGACAATCAAGATATCCCACGAGTTGGTAATTGCCAATACCAAAGAATTATTGTTAATTGTGCCGAATGTACCAACAGCGTTAAAGTTATGAGATAAAATGTCCAAAATTTTTAGATGCATATTAAGTATGTAGCAATGAAATAACATTGTCTGGGGTTTGCTTTAAGATACTTCAAAAGAAAAACAGAAGATAAGATGAAGCCAATGTAGTAAATCTTGGTAACTACTTGGTAACTACTGAATCTGGGTGCTGGCACACTGGCTGGTAACTACTGAATCTGGGTGCTGGCACACTGGCTCCTTATACTCGTTTCTCTCTGGGATACAGTTGAAAAATTTCAGAACAAAAAACTGTGTTTTGGAACCCATTCTTCCAAGAACTCTGTTCTACAAAAGAATTAGATTTAGTGAGTTTTTACTAATAATTTTTGCTAACATCTTACCCCCTCCTGTATACTTTACTTTAAAGATTCTAATTTCCAGAAGACTGTCACAGAAAGATGGCCCTAGTCGGGGTTTCTGGCAGCATGATAAATGAGTGACACACTTGGGTCTGGTTTTGCATACTGTCCCTGCCATTACCTCTGTCTTTACCAAGAAAACCCACAAGCTATATTTAGCTACGGGATCTTGATTGGATGTGCTGATGACTGAAGCTGACTCTGTAAGTGCCAATACTAACCAAGTGTGGGGTTGCCGGCAACTGGGTGGAGCTGCAGAGGTCCTAAGAAGAAACAAGGCTGGAACCAGATCAGGGAGAAAGGCCACACACACAGCACGACCCCTTGATGCTGGGTCCATCTTCAACATGGGCTGGACCAGATCCCACATCTACCTAAACTGGTATGACATGTTCCTTGGTGGAGAAACTTCCCAGGCACAGACTTTTTTAAGAACCGAACTACTACTGAGAACACACTTGCTTATCAAGCCAGCCTCCCAGCAGGAGTCTACATCACTGGGTCCTCAGTGACAACAAGGTATTTCGTCTAAGTCAGGAGCTGTAGGCAAGTGCCTGAGAGCTTTCATAGAGGATAAAGAAGATGTGAGGCTGGCTTTCTTTGGAAGGGCTGAAGAAAGAGCAAGGAGATGCAGAGAGGCAGGATTGCTGATGGAGATGAGTAGAACCTTGGGATCATTCATTCCTTATGACGGCTTCTCCAGTTACGGAAATAGACTGTAGCAAAAACGGAAAGAGGACAGTAACAAACTAGCTACCTCTCTGAGCACGTATGTAAGTCTAGGAAGGAAGGGGACCACAGTAAGCAAGCAACCTAAAGAGATCCAGAATTTCAAATGATAAAGACACCACTTTAAAAATCCCTCTTCCAGGGCTTCCCTGATGGTGCAGTGGTTGGGAGTTCACCTGCCGATGCAGGGGACACGGGTTCGTGCCCTGGTCCGGGAGGATCCCACATGCCGCGGAGCGGCTGGGCCCATGAGCCATGGCTGCTGAGCCTGTGCATCTGGAGCCTGTACTCTGCAACGGGAGAGGCCACAACAGTGAGAGGCCCGCGTACTGAAAAAAAAAAAAAATCCCTCTTCCAAGGGACTGGATTCTTCAGCCCTCTTCCAAGGTTCTATCAGAGAGAATGTCTCTTCTGGAAGTAACAAAAGTACAAATGGATGAAATTGAAAGGATGTTTCACTAGCACAAGTGCGATGTGAAGAAATGATTCCAAACACACAGCATTCCATTTTTTCTCCCACCCAAATCGAGGAAATGAGCTTCTTCTACTCCTTATTACATTAAAAAGCTTTAATGTAGTTAGACATTTTTAAAACTAAATCTCCTGTTAATTATTTCATAAAATTCCGATGATCTCCCCAGTTGAAATTATTCCAAGGCAAAAGTTGGGGTAAGGAGTATTACGTGAATCTGATGGAAAGGTAGAGACAATAGAAGAGGAATAAAGTTTATTTTAAAGAAAAGCTTCTATGCTACTAGAGAAGATCAATACAGCAAAATGTCCCGCCAGGGAGGAGAGATCTTGTTTGGGTGGGTGGAGGGTGCAAAGGGACAGGAATAGTGTCTCTAGCTCCGCTGTTACGGATTCCCACTGTAGGGATTAATAGAAAGAAGGAAAAAATATCATTTGAAACAGAACCTTCCATCTAAGAGAGGGAAAACGCATATAAAAGCTTCTGGATCTGTATCAAGGGAGCGAATGATATTTTAAAAGTATGGCAGGAAACCAAAGAGCTATGCCCACACACAAAGCTTAACTGCTTCCATCACACTAACTAGACCACGTATTTCCCCAGCTGTGAAGCACTGGGCTTTGGGAATTTTAAGAAGGGTGGGGCCACCTAGCTGTATTGCTTAGTGACGTTCCCAGATGAAGGCAAAGGGACTTGATTCTATTCTAAAGAAATTTTTACCTTTGGCCTACATCAAAGGACCCCTGGGCAAGATGAGAAACAAACAAAAAGGGAAATTACAGCAAGGAATGGTTTACCTTCGGAGAGCAGTTGAAATGCATACCGGGTACTGGGAGTGTAGTTACATACATTGTAATACACCGATACAGGTACAGCGTGCCAACTATGCAGAAAAATCTTCTGCTAATAATAGACCTAGAAAAAGGGAAAAACAGGGCAGACACTCAGTCATGAAATTTCGCAGGTTCATTTACTTCAAGTTTTCAATGACCCAACAATACAAACAAACCCCAAAACTACTTGAGAGATTGAAATCAGAATTTTATAACTATAGCTAAGAGCAGATTAAGGTGAGGATTTTGAGAATGATTCTGTTTTTTCTTTTTAAATATTAACTTTAAGGCCAGAGGAGTTTAAAACACTCTATATTGCTATTAATTGGGCTTCCTGAGGCCTTAAACATGAGTTGACATTCAACTGACGTACAAGTAGGGCCTATTCTGATGGGTCAGAGCTGACTCAGTACCTGTGGTTAAACATTTAGAGAGTGTCTTTTCTGTCATAAAAAAGATGTTCAGAAAATTACAATGACATTAAAATGAGAATTCAAAACTTTTCTGACATTTAATGAGCCAAAGACATTAAACCACTGTACTTGTACATCCCAGAAACTGATTATCTTAGCAGATCTCCAAGGTAGCATGATGCCAAGAAAAGAGCCTGTCTCAGTGATAGCATCCAACCTCTCTCTGCTAACTATGTGGCCTTGGGATAGACTATTGACATCTCTGAGTCTCAGTTTCCTAATCTGTAAACCAGAAATAAGAACATTAGAAATGATGTACGGAAAATCCCTGCCATCCATGCACAGTGGCAGTCAACAAATGTATACATTTTGTGGATGAATCACAAAATAAGCAAGAATTAGAATCACACATCTTTTCCATTTCAAGTTTATTGGTGGTTCTAATGAAATTATTTGATATGTATATGTGAACATGTATATTGAGTTTGATAACTTCTCCTAATAGCAATTTCCACATAGGTTTGGCTTTAACTAGATTAAGTTGTACAAACTTAAGTGTATCCTTGAACAAGAATGTTCCTTCCCTTCTAATTCTACCTGTTCTATCTTGTTCTACCACAGGCCAGAATCACAGTCCTGTGGGTCTCCTCCTCTTCAACCTTGAGGGGTTCAAATTTTTCCTTGGCCCAGGGCAACCTAACATAAATAAACACACATTTTTTAGAAACAGTGAACAGGCTTTCCTCTGAGGATACTGAACATTCACTCTATAATTGTACAATGTGCCTCTATTTTTATGCAGGATGGACATTCCTACTGGAGGAGAATTTGTATCGTTTGTATTTTTTAACAAGAGGAATGAAGTGATATGTCGCCTGTGTGATTAGAAATTAATTTAAAAATAACCCACATAACCGTATTAGTATTTCATTCATAACTACACAGTTCATGTAAGGTCCTTAGGTTGTACGGGTAGAGCCTGGGTGTTGTGCCTCTTTACCCAGATTTTAGAAACTGGGTCAAAACTGCTTACCACAGAGAATGTCTCATTTTCTCTTATTAAAGCTGTGCTTGCCACCTCCAAGGGCAAGAATTTATTCAGCATAAAGCTGTCTTTTATAAAGGTATGTGCCTCTAATTTCACTTGATGAAAAGCACAGTATAATTAAACAATATAAAGAGGGACAATACTAGAGAATATTACTAGACTATAAATGTCTTACCAAAATAACTTGAAATACCCGCGTGAATTTTACATTGTAAGACACGATGATCATTTTTCTCAAAAAGAAAATGCCCTCTCTCACCATCCTGTTCAAACAAACAGAAATTACTTGCCATTTTACTTGAACTATACGAAAAACATCTACAACAGAAAACTGTTAAGTCTATTTAGATATGTTAATCTCTTTAGATGAAGAGAAGCAAATAAAATGACTCCTATCACTCCATTTTGGGAAAGATTACTATCTTAAATCCCTTTGCCTGATGGTTTCATGGTGCACATAAGATACACACACGCACACACAAACACCAGTAACTATTTCCATATCTCAAACTTGAGTCACATTTGAGAAACAGTGAAAAGACTTAGGATTACCTGAGAATGAGGTATATGAAAAAATGATAATGGATGAGAAAAGACAAATTCTTTAACAAAAAATACTTTAAAAGTATCAAACATTAAAGATTCAGTCACATTTACTCTTTGACTTGAAGTGAAAAAGTCAAATGATTTTATCAATGTGACTCCATCAATATTCACATGGTGACAAGTTGGAAGTGACTATTAATAAGAATCTTCTGATCTTTGGTATTAATCTTTTTGAAAGTAAGCTTAGAATATCTTCAATGTATAATTTTAAACAAGAATCTCCTACCATAAACTTTAAAAAGCAGGATATAAAAGTGTTTCAAAAACTTGTATCCTGTTAAGGTATTTTTCCTTAATCAAACAATTTCACACATTAGAATTCTTTCTCACTTAAGTTTAAAAGTTCAAGATGTGCTTTAAAGAAAAAAGGTTTAAAGTAGTTAAAAATGTAACAAGACAACAAAAAAGCCACAGAGGAAACATTAATGAGGTATTTCCAGAGATTAAGCAAATGCCAAGGACAATATGCACATTATAATTCTCAAAACCACAATGCTGTTCTTCTCACATGGGATATATCTCTCCTTTCATGTTGGAAAGAAGCCTGTTTCCTATCTGCTTGCACTCTGCAATGACTATCACGTCACAGACGCTTGTACTTGGTCACGATTATTCTTCTCTCAAGTATTTGAGTAATAGGCTCATTACTACTTGCTCTGACAGAAAAGAAAAACATTGTTAAATTAAAAAAAAAAAAAAGGTAGTGGCTTATATTTTTTTCTAAGTCCCATGTAAAAGGTCTGCAATATAATGCAAGAGAAAGGAAACTGTCCATTCTTCATTATTGTTAAATTCGATAAGGAAATATGAATAAAAGTGTTAATATTTTATAGATAATCATTAAGACTTGTTAGAATGGTATGTTATGTTAGGTCCAGGATAACTTTATTAAACCTTTTACTATCCCTACTTAAGGAGGAAAAAGTACACAGAACCTGATTAATTACTACCAAATACAGGCTTAAAATAGCAGTACTGCTTTGTTTCTGGCATTTGATACAATGGTCTAAAATTCTAAAGAAAAAACGATGAAAGAAATGAATATACTGGAAAGTAAAATTAAAATACTGGCAAGTTCTTTTGTTTCCCGCAAGTTGTCTCTTTCTGAGCTGTAGCCAGAAGACACACAATTCTTTCAGTGCTCAGACCTGCTCTGCCAGCTCTTGAAACAAACAGGTCCTGAGACACAGCAGTGGAACTAAGCAACAATCCCAAAGTAGGAGGCGATAAACACGGGGGACAGCACATGTATCTGGACCAGGATCAGGGAGGCCCACATCTCTGGAGCAATCATGGAGGCCAGTGCGCAGTTCAGGTCCCTCCAGTATATGCCACAGGGACAAGGCGTCTCCAGCTTATCTTCACACAGATGCTGGCTCTACCTTTAGCAAAGGCTCGCGTGATGATTTGAATCATCTCAATTAACTTCTTTGGAAATTGGCTTCCTCGCCAGCAAAACGGTATCTTTCTTAATGATTCAGAGAAATGCTACTGAGGAATTTCCCCAGACTGTTATTAACAGTAACTAGGGTTTTGCCAAATTCCTCCTCTACGCCAAGCTCTGTGTCATTTAATTCTTAAAATAACCTGCAATGCAAGGCTATGATCCTTATTCTACAGATGGGGAAATTGCAGTTTCAGAGAGTCTAAGGTGAAATATAAATACATTACACAAGACAAAAAGATTCAGGAAATGGCTTCAAATTGTGTAAGAAATCCCAATTTCATTTTGAGACTACACTGTTGTGTTCCAATCGATGAGCCAACATCCGATCACATTTAAGCTACATATCAAAATCCACTTAACTCAGATTTTTCACTTAGTGTTTTATGTCATATTTTGTATTGACCCAGACCTCTACAAAATAAGCACTTCTGATAGTTATTTAATGATAACCATGTTAGTTAGTAAAGTACTGAAAAAAATCCTTCTAGGTATCCAGAAGGAAACTGTCCATTCTTCATTATCGTTTGCACAGTCCGTGCCCAGTTAGATATGCTTTACGTCCCCCCCAGTGTTTGGTCAGTCATTCTGAAATGTCATCCATTTCTCAACATTCTATCTCGCCTGAACTTCCACTATGACCTTTGACCTAGTGTCACTAATTCCACTTGTGCCTCCCTAAAATCCTTTCTACAAAGAGCAGCCAGAATCATCTTTTGTTTGAAACAGTTAAACAGAGTATGTCCTTTAAAACCCTCCAATAGTTGCCAGATATATTTTGAATAAAATCCAAATCCTTTGCCAAGCCCATGAGGCCCTAGATGATCTGGCCTGCCTCTCTCTTAAGCTCACCTTCCACTGCTCTCCCCGCCATTCCTCAACTCCAGTCCGATGCCCTTGGTGCAACTGAACACATCACCCCAAGTCCCTCCTGCCTTAGGTAGGATCTCTGTGCCAGCCATTCCCTCTGCCTGGACTCCTGGAACACTGCCTGTCACTCAGGTCTCTGAGAGACCACCTACTCTAAAGAAGGTGCCTGGTGCCATCTTCCATTTTACTTTCTTCATAGCCTCCCACTCCCATTCCCACATTCTGTTGAAGCTAACTCCAAAGAGTTTCTTAAATCTGTTTTCCTCCCTTTAGTTCCTTGCTACTAGTCCATGGATTCCCTGGATTATGACAACTGCTCAACATGACCCCAAGCTACCTTAACTGTTTTATCTTGCAGACCTGAATTCCACTGCCCTGGGCAAAACGAGCCCCACTCATCCGTTCCCTAAAACCCTAGTTTCTTGCTTTTGCCAGCAAATCTCTTTCCCTGGCCTCTCCTGTTACTCTATCCACCTACCTCAAATACCACCTCTGCGTGAAGCCTCCTACATGTTCCCAACTGGGCAGAGCTACTTCATCCTCCAAATCACTTCAGAACTTGTTTTGTATTTTACGGTATTTTTAATAGTAAGATTGGCATCACCATTACCAACAGAGGCCCTCATTCCTTCTGTTAGAGGAAAAGCTCTTAAAGAAAGCTGCTCTTTACTTATGTTTTAGTCCCAGTGAGACTCATGACG